CGCCTGACAAGAGGGGAGGAGGGGATGAGGATGGGGATGAGGAGGAGGAGGACAAGAGGGGAGGACAAGAGGGGAGGAGGGGATGAGGGGAGGAGGGGAACAACATAAGAAAGTATGTTACCTCCTTTCTTCTCGAGGGTAATATAAATAGCAATTTGTAAAAAAAAAATAAATAAATAAAAACAAAGGTTTTTCTCTTGACACTCTGAAGCAGGACCTCACCTGTTGAAAAGTTCTGTTGGCAGTCTTAGTGGAAAAAAATAGCGAACAAATTTATAATTGAAGTGGTTAGGAAAAGAAATGAGTTGCTTTTATGACGCGATCAGGAAAAAAAAGTATCTCTCAATGTACTTTTCTTCTTCTCGGGGAAGAAGATTATCGTAATACTGAGTCCCTCGCGTGCACACCAGACTCGGCACACCGGAAGTATGAATTGCCTCGGTTCCACTTTGCGCGTCCATAGGCGACAAAAAAAAAAATCAAGATGCTATCATCATATTTAGACACTTTAATAATTCACCGTTTCTAATCTGGAATTAAGTGAAGTGGTTCTTTGTGTTTTATCAGAGCAAGAATGCAACTCAAAACAAAAAAGATATCATGCTCAATTGACACTGGATTTCTTTTTTTTTTGAAAAGCACTTTTAAAGAGAAAAAACAGCGTACTTTTGAGCACAGGTGTACATCAAACGGTCATGGTAATTGATTATACAGTCAACTTTCATTCACTATCGTTGACCATCATGTTTACGTTCAAAATTTTCATGGTAGTTCATGATAGTTGAAAAAAACACGCAATGAGGTCACATATTGTAAACAAATTTGGCACGCGCTGAGGTAAAAAATATCGGTGGCATTTTGAATCATAGTCAAGAAGTTGCGAAGGGAAAATACTGAAGCCTACCAGCAGATGATGAGAACGAACTACCATTTCATGTACCATTTCGACTTGAGACCGTTTTTAAAAAGGCTGCTGACTGAAAAGCTATCATTCACTCTTTGATCTTAGTTGATTATAGTCAATAATAGTGCATATTATTATTCAACTGTGAGCAGAGTACAAATAAGGCCTAAGACGAGTACAAATATCACGCAGTATTTGTGCTCCAGAAATATCCACGAAATTCGCCCGCGCTGAAATAAAAATTTGGCGTATTGGATAATAAATGTGTTATAAGAAGTTTTTTTGTGTAGTATCGCTGAGTATTTTTACTCGTTATTTGTATTTTGACTCGCCCTACGGGTTCGTCAAAAAACGGCACAACTCGTAAAAATACTTAGCGATACTACACAACAACACTTCTAATATGATATGTATACTTCTTAAGCATTCAAACGCGAGTGATAGTTAAAAAATTTATCAACTATCATGGCCGTTTACATGGCTATATATGCTTAAATAAAAAATAGCAAATTTTCAAAACGAGCGTAATTTTGAGCATTTTTGGCAAAAAAACTTCAAACAATGCTAGTGGCACAATATGCCAATTTTACAAGCATAATATTTTAAGGCCTCTTGCAGAGGGCTCCACACAGGCAAGATTAACGACAGGACCGGGTAAATCAGTACGTTTTCTTAAAGTGTCTGTTTCCGTCCCAGGTAACTTAAAAAGAATGTAGTTCCATTTTCATGACTAACTATGTGCAGTTATAAAAACTAACAGAAAACACTTGAGTCTTTATGCGTCAAAAGTTCCGGACTCGACCACCCCTCCCTCCTTAAAAACAATAACCTTGTCGCAGTGTTGGATGGTGCTCAGACGGTGAGCTACAGTTATTACTGTAGAGTCCTTCAGCTTCTCTCGCACCACTCTCCAGATTGTTTCTTCTGTGCCTGGATCCACGTGTGCAGTGGGTTCATCCAAGATGACCATCTTGTTTTTCTGCAACAGAACACGAGCCAAACAAATCAACTGCCGTTCTCCCACGCTGACGTTTGCTCCATTTTCCAATAATTCGTACTCCAATTGTCCCTCAAGACTTTCCACGAAATCTTTTAGCTGCACATCCTCTAAAACTCGCCATAGATCTACATCTTGGAAGCGCTGCACAATATCCATGTTTTTCCTCAACGAACCACTAAAAAGCACCGGAGTTTGACCAAGGGAGGATATACATCCTCGAGCTGCTTGAAGATTAATTTCCTTAATCTGAATTCCATCCACCAGGATCTCTCCATCAGGGTCAGGCATGCGCAGCAGAGCGGAAACAAAAGACGATTTCCCGGCGCCCGTGCGTCCTACAACACCAATCTTTGAGCCTCCTTTGATGCCGAGATTGATGCTTTTAAGTGCTTGAGGACCTCCTGGGTAATATGTTAGCGACACATCGTTAAATATGATATTTCCTTTACGTGGCCAGTGTTCTGGAGGAGGTCTGTCCACTTTGTACCCAGGCTCTGAGTCAAGTTTGGTGTAGGCCATAACTCGTTCAACTGACGTCATAAAATTCTCGACATCTGACGATTTTCTGACAGCGTATTGTGTCAGAGCCACTGTTTGAATGACATAAGCAAGAGCAAGTCCGGCGGAGGCTGATAAGAAAATATAAAATTAACAAGTAAGAAAAAAACCAGAATTATTGATGATGGATTACTGTATTNTTTGATGCCGAGATTGATGCTTTTAAGTGCTTGTGGACCCCCCGGGTAATATGTTAGCGACACATCGTTAAATATGATATTTCCTTTACGTGGCCAGTGTTCTGGAAGAGTTCTGTCCACTTTGTACCCAGGCTCTGAGTCAAGTTTGGTGTAGGCCATAACTCGTTCAACTGACGTCATAAAATTCTCGACATCTGACGATTTTCTGACAGCGTATTGTGTCAGAGCCACTGTTTGAATGACATAAGCAAGAGCAAGTCCGGCGGAGGCTGATAAGAAAATATAAAATTAACAAGTAAGAAAAAAACCAGAATTATTGATGATGGATTACTGTATTTCTATTTATGGAATAACTATCGATTATCTATGTTGATGCTGATGATATTAGTAAGGTAATATGGTCTTGAGAGACGCAGTCACGTTTGCCAGTGGCACATTAAGGTCAGTGCACTTTGGAGTGTTGTAAGGGATCATACATAGTCCGTTGGGAAGAGGCGGGGGGGATTGGAGGATTCTGGAGATATCACATGGTTTTCTAGAGGAATGGAATGGAGATCAGCTGTCACTAACAGAGTATAGGGGGGGAGGGCCTTTAGCAAACTCACTGCCGATGAGGGGGTGATTAAAAAACTTCAGATCTTGGAGGAAGTAAGATTAGTACCTCCCGCTATGAACTATGACTGGTCTCTGATCTCGTGCCTAAATCCTACCGTATAAATGTGAGTGATGCTACTGCTTAGCCGTGGAAGGTCTGTGTACGAAACTAACCGCTCCTTTAGCAGCAGAACTATGCATGACTAGGTACGAGGCAAGATGTCGCGGGAACACGTGTTCAAATGGTTTGAATTGTGTTGAGGCCATGAGCAAATCCAGCTGGCGAGAGGTTTGCGAGGGATTTGGCGCAAGAACCTGGCCCAAGACCACATGCTGATCTCTCGTCGGCTCGCGTTCAAAACCTCAAACTAATTCGTGGACGAAGAAACGCGTGTTCTCTATCACTACTATTAATCGCGCGCTCGCAGGACTGAAATTTACTTACTGGCGTCTTGCGATATCAAAACTGCCACTAAAATCACTAAGCCGACTAACAGAGAAATGATCGCATCCAGACGAACACCAAACCATCTTCCACTCGCCATCATCATGATAAAAGACTGGATATGAATGTCTTGGTGGCTGTCCAAAGGATAATAATTTCAATATGTGTATTTATTGACTAAGTGGCCAAACTCGGTCAATAAGCATTTTATCACATGACCACTAAGTATTGAGAATCTTGTTTCAACCTAAACAGGACGAGATAGACGGGCGCACACGGGATAACGATTCTAAAAGTGATCTTTGTCCTTTATTTTTGTAAGTCAGAACAAGAAACTCGTAAATCGTCGGAAAAAGTGACGTATTTTTTAATATCTATTTTTCATTTTTTCCGGAATGGCTTACTTATATCATCTACAGTTCAAATGTTTAGTCTGCACAGCATTCGTGCATTGGAGAGGGATTACGAAAAGAGAGAAGACGAGAGAGAATTTTCTGTGGATAATAGTTCAAAATTCCAGCCCTGACCCCAACACTACACACGCTCTGCGGACCAGGCCTGAATCGCACCAAAATAAATCACAGGCTTACCCTGTAAGTTCACTTTATAAGATGCACAAACTCACCTGTAAAACTCCTCAATGAAATCGTTCTGTCTGCCTCTTGATCGAATCGTGTCCAGTCCTTCAAGAGTCTCTGATATGTGAGAGAACACTGGGCTTCGGCACATTGATTCCAACCTTTTCAGCTCCCTGGAACTCTTCAAATAAAATCTTGCGAAGTAAAGACTCGTAGCCGTCACTGGAATGGTGACAAACACAAGCCACGGATTCGTAACAGAAGGCACGATAACAGATGAGAACAACAGCAGCACCAGCTGAACTGTAGATAGAAACTGTAGCGGTAATAATTCGTCCATGCAGCCGACATCTTTAGAGAATCGATTCAGAATTCTACCCACAGGATTTGAGTCAAAGAAAAGTACCGGTGCTTGTAAAAGAGCCACAACCATTTTGTCATGAAGACGTTCGGAGCATCTTAGACAAACTAAAAATAAAATGTAGCATCTTACGATGCCTAATAGGAAAGAGGCAGCGACCAAACAGCCATAGATAGCCAGATTCGTCTTGTCTTTCTGCTCTGAAGGACGTTTCCTGGTCAAAAGCGACAGCCAAACGTCGGGGGCAACCATCGATGCTGAAAAAGGGAGAAATAGACGGTGAGTAACTAAAACACTTATGACTTCTTACATGCCTCGTTTCCAATAATTGTCGCAACACGTAGGGACTTGTCATTTTTGAGGAGCCAGTCATCCTGTGTCACCTGGGAGGGTAGGGGGGATTTAGGGGGAATAACAAGAGGGAACAGAGTATAAAGAGAAAACTATAGCTCTATAGCTATAGTTAATTGAATGTCCATTAACTGCCAATGAGAAAGGTGAGGATCATAAGAGTGTTACAAAGCATTAGGGGAGTGTCATTCAAATTTTACCGTGATACAACCTCTCCCCCACAGGCGAAACATAACGTGTAATGACTGTTCCTCGCTACTACATATATTTATTAAGGCTAACCTTGAGGAATAAGACACAGAATAACAACTCCAATGATCAATAAGGGGTGAATGCCACTTCTGAAGTAGTCCCAGTAAAGCTTACTTGACACCGTTCCGATTGCCCGATCTTCAACAGATATTTCCAGACCATTACTATCAGTAGCAAGTGGCATCACACCGCTGAGTTTCTCTTCGTTATCCCTTGCGGTGTTGTCGGACAGTTTCTCTATAAGAGTGTTTTTGCACAGTGGGTAAATGGTGGTATTTAAAATGCCTTTATCTTGAAGCTCTACGAAGGTCCCTTTTCCCAGTACGCGCCCTTTATACAGCATTATCACTTGGTCAGCATCTATCATGTGTGACTCTTGATGAGAAGTTAACAGTCGGGTCCTTTTACCAAGCACATCCTTGATACACTTTTCAAAGATATGTCGACCCACTTTGAAGTCCACAGCACTGAGAGGATCGTCCAACAAGTAGAGGTCTGCATCCACATACACGGCGCGTGCTAAATTTACTCTTGCACGCTGACCACCACTAAGAACGGCACCGCGCTCACCAACAACAGTTTCATCACCGTTCGGAAACTGCTGAAAGTCTTTCGTGAGGGCGCAAGCCTCGATTACCCTGGTGTATCTTGATTCATTGTACGACTCGCCAAATAAGATATTTTCTCTTAAGGTTCCAGAGAACACCCAGGCTACTTGCGGCGCGTACACAAAAGTTCCATGACGACTAATTGTTCCACTTATGTCTGACATCTCGCCAGCGATCGCTAAGAGAAGAGTTGATTTTCCGCTGCCTACTGGCCCGGTGATAACTGTCAAGGTTCCTGATGCAGCAATGAATTCCACATCTTCAAGGATAAGGTCGTCCTTCCTCTTCATTTCCGTAGACTTTAAACTGGACACGCATAAAGTTCCTGGCTCAGATGGGTTCACCCTCTGATCAGTAACAGGGCTTTCGTGTGATTTCTCCGACTGATCTTTTATCACTCTAAAATCCCTCTGTAACTTAACGGACATTTCCTCTGGCGCTATACCTTTGTCTTCTTTACTCTGATCTCCCGAGATACATAGCAAATCTTCTAAGATGAGAAACTCTTCTATCCTGCCGAGTGATACATATGCTTCATGTGTCTCCACTACACCATATCCAATATCAAGGGAAAAACAAAGTCTTAGCAAGTTCATGTACATTAGAAGCATAAAAGCATTGACAGGAGTAAGATGATGACCAGTCAGTAGCAGAGAAATAACGGACAGCAGGACAGGTATTGAAGTATACTCCAAGGCAGCCAAACCTGAGAGAATAACACTTTTCTTTCGGATGATGCTGATTTCTCGTCTGAAAGAGAAAAGAGATATTTGCCATCATTTACGGACAAATAGAAAGTACTAAAGAACTGC